CCCACCTTGCTACAACCTCCTATGACCTAGTTGTAGGGAGCGATAATGTGTCTCCTCAGCCTCCTTTTCTCCAGGCTAAACAACCCCAATTCCCTCAGCTTCTCATAGGACTTGTACTCTAGACCCTTCACCATTATTGTTGCCCTTCTTTGGACATGATCCAGCACTTCACTGTCCTTCTTGTAGTGAGGGGCTCAAAACTGAACAGTATTCGACACGTGGCCTCACCAATGCTGAGTACAGGGGGACAATCACTTCCCTAGTTCTGCTGGCCACACTATTTCTGATAGAAGCCAGGATGCTATTGGCCTTCTTGGCCGCCTGAGCACACTGCTGGCTCATGTTCAGATGGCTGTCAACCAGCACCCCCAGTCCTTTTCTACTAGGCAGCTTCCCAGTTACTCTTCTGGAAGCCTGTAGCATTGCATGGGGTCGTTTGGCTGACCAGATCCCTCTGTAGAGACTTCCTACCCTCCAGCAGATCAACATTCCCACCCAACTTGGTGTCATCTGCAAGCTTACTGAGGGAGCACTTGGTCCCCTCATCCAGATTGTTGATGAAGATTTAATAAGAACTGGTCCCAATACTGAACCTTGGGGAACACTGCTTGTGACTGGCCACCAACTGGATTTAGCTCCATTCACCACCAGTCTTTGGGCCCAGCCATCCACCCCAGTTTTTACCCAGCAAAGAGTATACCTGCCTAAGCCAGGAGCAGCCAGTTCCTCCAGGAGAATGCTGTGGGAGACGGTGTCAAAGGCGTTACTAAAGTCTAGGTAGACAACATCCACAGCCTTTCCTTCCTCCACTAAGTGGGTCACCTTGTCATAGAAGGAGATCAGGTTGGTTAAGCAAGACCTGCCTTTCATGAACCCATGCTGGCTGGGCCTGATCACCTGGTTGTCCTATACGTGCTGCATGATGGTACTCCAGATGATCTGCTCCATAACCTTCCCCAACACCAGGGTCAGACTGACAGACCTATAGTTCCCTCCATCCTCCTGGCCCTTCTTGTACATGGGCATCACATTTGCTAACCTCCAGTCAGCCTGGACCTCCGCAGTTAGCCAGGACTGCTGATAAATGATTGAAAGTGGCTTGGTGAGCACTTCTGCCAGCTCTGTCAGTACCCTTGGGCAGATCCCGTCTGGCCACATAAACTTTTGTGTGTCTAAGTGGCGTAGCAGCTCACTAACCATTTCCCCTTGGATTATGGGGTCTTTATGCAGCTCCTTGTCCCTGCCTTCCAGCTCAGGGGGCTGGGTAGCTGGAGAACAACTTGTCTTACTATTAAAGACTGAGGCAAAGGCGGCACTAAGTACCTCAGCCTTCTCCTCATCTTCTGTCACTATGTTTCCCCCCACATCCAATAAAGGATGGAGATTTTTTTCTTCTGAGATAAAAGTTATAAAGTATTTATAGAAATATTTTTTATAAAATAAGCAATAGCAGTCAAACACACTTTACGTAGGAATCCCAGGTTCAGGCTAACTGAACCAGGTGGGACTAGTTGCTCAATGAGCCCTCTTTGTCCTTTTTTGCCTTACTCCCTACCTTCACCCCTCCTCCCCACTCAAGCAACAGGCATCCTAATTATCTCTCTTTTTGGCCTCCTGTGGAACACTGAGTTTGATTTAGAGGTGGAAGGGTTGGAAACAAGAGGAAGATTACCAAATGATAAAAAGAAATGCTTCCTTAATTTTTAATGTGTAGTGTTCTTTTTGGGGTTTTTTTTGTTTAAAGTTATCACTGGCAATTAATAGTTTGCAAACCTTGGTGTTTCAAAGGAAGCATTCTCTTTTTCGAATGAATAAGATTGTATTGAATAGTGGATTTAAAGAAATTTGTTTGAGAGCAGACATACCAGTATTTCATATGATTAGCTTATCTGAAGTATGTATGGTAGGTTGCTAATGTAAAGAGCAGTTGCATGGCTTAAAAAAAAAAAGTATCATTTAGACTTAAAAATGGTCCATATTTACTGCTGTGGGGTTTTTTGTGCATTTTAGAATGAGAGATAAGATCAACTTTCTAGAATTTTTTTTATTTATTTGTAAATCAGCTCCTAGAGAATTCTGATATCCTTCAAGTCACTAATTTCATTTTGGCTTAATTTCTACTTTACAATGTTTTACATTTTTAAAGAAAGAAGTGTAAAATACCAGTTCAACATAGAATTTTTGTTCTATTAGATAAATGAAAAGGAACTTTCCAAAGCATGTTGTTCATTCCATGTAACGATAGCCACAGTGCTGTATCATGTTGTTATTTAATTGACAGTTCAGAGAGGTGTTCTGTCTTTTGAGGATAAATGGCATTCTTATTTAGAAAATTGATCAGTTAGTGCCTTTTGTTATGAAACCCATTGTGTTTCAAGACAGTTATAGCAGGTGTATTGATAAATATCTGTCAAATGAGTTTTGCAGAAAATTAAATTCTGTATATTAAATCAGAGATACCATGAGCATCATTACAATAGCAGAGTCACAACATACTCCTGCAGGCTTACTAGTCAACTTTTTATCCATGGATTGCAATATGCAGTATTTCAATATTCCCCTTATTGTTAATAACAATTTTCTAAGCCTAATGGAGCATTTAAGGTTTCTAGGCTCAGTTTTTAATCAGTGGGAAGTGGTCCTTTGTGTAATCTAAATGACTCTCTAGTTTTCTAAAGTCTAGTCTTCCCAGTCTACTAATTGGTAAACAAAATGGAAAATCAAAACTTTTGACCCAGGAAAAAAAATGACAGCTTGTGTGTTCCCATTCTGATTTGTGGATTTGCAGCAACTTGACTGCCTAGTGTACAGAGCTATGATTATACCGAATACACTGGTGTACGATAGCAAGAGATTTTGCCTTGATGAGGTACTGTGTAATACAGAATTATTATTCAACCCGAACTATACGTTAATGTTATCTTCTTTCACAATACAGGGGAAAATATCAAAAGGAAAATTGATAAGGAGAAAACCCTTCTCGGCAACTAAGAAATTATTACAACAGAGAAGAAAAGTCAATGACAATCAATGAAATTAGTTGTGTTCCTTTAATGTTAATGGGAAATAAGCATTCAGTATTTGCTGCATACTATTACAGAATGGAAACTGGGCTCAGATCGTGGGTTGTGATACAGCTGTTCCTCATTACACCCTTGCTAGACCGGGATACCAGCTCCTGCGTGTCCATCCACAGGAGGATCCACCTCAGAATGGAGGTGGGACTTCCTTGTGGCTTATTGGTTGTTATACTGTTTGCCTCTCCCCTGCCATTAAATATGGTCGTGCCAGGACTGAATTAGCCATTAGTCATAGCCAACTCATTCAAATTCCCCCTGGCTTGTCTTCCATCACGGTTTCTAGGGTATAAGTATGCCTCTTGCCTTTGCAATTGCAAACAGGAACCTGAAAATGAATTGACTGTTGGCATGGTAATTGCAGCTTGAGTAAACAGGTGACTTGGAACAGGAGCTGTAAAAAGAGGTGAACTGTTTCATTCGTCTCTCTGGGTTTTTAACTGAAATGCCCTGTGATTTTATGTGTATTCTTCCAAATATTGTGTCACTGGTATACTATGCAAAATATATTTGAACTTCTGGTCTTTGGGTAAAGAAAACCTCTCTGATGTGGGACTGCTATTTCAATCCCATCTGATTATTAAATACATTTGTTTTACTCAAAGACCAGTTGATTTTTCTTATATGTAAATGGAATTGTCAAAAGTACAAGGTTAATTTCTCATGACGCTAACACTTAGATCATTGTCCTCTATTAAACTTGTAATACAGACTGCGTTTTTTTTCTTACCATACTTTGTCTGCTGAATTTTATTGCTTCATTGTCAAGTGTAATCTTGCTGTATTGTTTTCTTCAAAAAAATTTCAACCTACTTCATCTCATCTGAGCAGAGGACTTCTTAATTTTTTTTTCTTTAACTTTTCTTCCTAACCGGAGGCATTTCTTCCCTTAACCTGTAAATATTTCATCTTTAATACCTTAGTCCTTGTTTGCTTACTAGGAATATCAAGTGTTTACCTGAATGGGTAGTTAGGGAATCCTTAAGTTTGATTTCTCTATCTGTCTGAGGGTATAGAAAAAACACATATCAAGTTATTGGGTGAACTACTTAATCAGATTTTTGCATTTATGACTTACTTACATTAATATATTTTAACTTCTGCTGCCATATCTATTGTTTACATTTTAACAAAGTATGTTGTTGTTTTTTGGTTTTGGTTTATGTAACTGCTTTGTTGTTTTTTTTTTTAATTAGCACTTTGAAAGAAGTATATTAAAGGTTTAAGCTCTCAGCTTTTAACTTCTAATATTATTGGACTGTAGTTTTTCTGAGGTAGAGTTATCTTAGATGATAAATGTACATGAGACAAACAATGCCCAATTTTTCACTGCATTTAGAATTTAAAATTTTGATAAAATCTTGCAACAGAGGTTGCTTTAATAATTTATTAATTTATCCAACTTGGATTTTTAATTTAAACAAATGCAGAAAACATATTACTGTGTGAAAGAAGAATGCATAGAAATACAGGATTTTAAAAATCCATCAGTTATAAAGTTTTCTGACATATCAAAATGGATTTTTTTGTTAGTAAGCTTGGTTTTACTGCTAGGAGACTTTTAAGACCACTGGAATGGAAAAAAAGTAGATCAGAAACTGCAGCTTTGTCTCATTTCTTGGCCTGAAGGGATAAAGCTCTATTAAGAAATGGGTCTGAAAAAGATGCTTGTTTACATCATCTGTAAAGCTAATGATAGCCATACTAAAAGCAAAGATTTTCTTATAAAGTGATTTCAATTAAAAAAAAAGTGTATGAGGAATGCAGGTTCTTCATGCACCCTTTGCAAACGCTAGTGAGCTCATTTCAAATAAGAAACAGCTCTCCAAAATTGATATTCATATATAAAAGAAGCTTTACCTCAGTATTCATTTAAAATCATATTTATCATGATACTTTATTATATTTTTTCTTTTGTTTTAGCCACGGATGCAGATGTGAAGATTGAAAGTCTTTCATCAGTGCAGCAGCTTGGTGTTGAAATGACAGTCAGGTACATGTTATTAAAATATTTCCCTAGTGTATTTCTAGAGTTTGTTTGATTTCCATGGAATGACTTTAATGATATTTAATCCATCAACTCAGTACTTTATACCATTTAAATCTAAAGATTAAGAAAACTAATTCTAACTTTGAAAATTAAAAAGGTATTAGTACATAATTAAATTATCTTTACAGATTATATAGGTTATTATCCTTTATTGTTGTAAAAGCTAATTGTAACTTGTTAGTAAGATTTACCATAAAATTACATTATCCTGAGTTATGTGTCTTTTTTTCCTCACATTACTTCTCTGCATGGTTCTGTTTAGCTAAGCTTAGTTGTATGTCATTTAAACATTTTATTTGGCTTGTAATTTGAAGAGCTGTGATGAAGGAAAAGCTAATGTGTCTGTACTTCCACCGATTGTTATCTTAAGCATTAATATTTGAATTCTGATACTAATAATTACACACACAATATACTTATATGGTATTGTAAATAATGTATGTGACGAAAATGAGTCACGTCTGTTAGAGTACTTGCTCTTCCTTACCGCAGTTTCTAAAACTGAACTAAAAGGAATTTAGATGAGGAATTGTAACACTGAGTAGTAAATGTTTAGTGTGTGTCCTTCCTAGATAAAGCATAATAGGTTTTATTAAACCATTTATGTGTATATCTGCAACGTAGCGTTTGTGATGAACAGTGCTATAATAGCTTAAATTTCGCTGGCCTATTAAATATGAGTTCTTGCTTTTTAGGAAATTTCTTTAAACAGTTTTGGTTTTTAATTTTTTATGCTAGATATGGAAGATACCTAAATTTGCTAAAGGAACATGCTGAAAATGGGCTGTGCTTCGTGTTAGTGAATTGTGAGAAATTTTTGAAACAACAGCAGAGAGATGTAGTATCCCCACTTTGTATCCTTTCTTGATGGTGTATATTATATTGCTTAAAAATGCCAGTGGAATTTGAACTCTGAATTTGGGCTTTTGATGGTGGTGTAGATGTGCAATACGTACTGAAAGAAATTTAAAAAGCGCAGCACTTTCACTTTGAAATTTTGTGAAGTTAAAATGCACACTCAATGCACTCAAGAAAATCTTCACCCTTTTGCTCCCATACTTTGTTAAAATTGTAATTCTCATTCATTTTTGTCATAAACTGTTTTGGAGTAGGATAACATCTTTCTTTGTGTGATAAAGAGGCTGGAGCAATGCACCTTTGAGCATTAATGAGTATTTGTGGTGCTCCCACAGTACCAACAGTGCTAATGGTATTGCCCATGTAACGATATGTGGCTGTAATCTGATCAATGGGAATGTTTTGACTTCTGACTCTTTTAGATCTACTGTAGAAATTTTAAAAAATAAAATGGATACCGCTTTTCTATATTCTTCAGGTATTAGACTTACATATTACTATTAAAAACACTTCAGGTATATTAGTCAGAGTATACTTAATCTTTTTTTTTTTAAGCTTTTCTTTTACTGTGGTTTTGTTCCCATGATCTTTACATCTCCTGTTTTCTTTTTCCACCATTCTCCTTTCTTGTACTGTAGGCACACTTGTTTTGATGTGGGGCTTTTTTGCATTTACATGTTTTTGTATGCTTTATTTGATTTGGCTTGACTATTTATGGACTGGAAAAAAGTAGTGTGTAGGGTAAATATCTTAAACCATTTCTCTTAGTTCAGTTTGAGAGGCAGCTGTGCCTCAAGAAGCTGCCTTCTGTGCAGCTATATTCCCCTTGTCCCATCTCTAACAAATGAGCTCTTGCCTCTGTGTGCCTGGGCCTGGGGAGGAGGAGGGCTTCATCTCCTGCAGGGCAGCGAGGAGGAGATCTCTGCCTGAGTTCCTTAACCTTCTCATGCAGGCTGCTTGCAGGAGCGCTATGCTGGCTACGACTGGTTTGCATCTTCTGTCTTCCTGATGATGTTAGGGGACAGGGAGAAGACACTGACATTTCTTCAGCGATTTTCACGTCTTCTTGTTTCAGCATTTCTCTGGCTACCAAGACTGCATCTGTCTGTAAGAATTTAAAAGCTGTTTGTTTCTGAAAGGCAACTTTGAAAGTTTCTAAAGGAGACTATCAATTTCCTTATTTTTGTGTTTTTTTTTTAATGCATTAAGTTTTCATCAAAGCCCTCTAACTGAATATGTGACCCTGAAAAATTTTCTCAGAAAAATATAGGTTTGACCTTTGCTGAAGTTGTTTAAAAAAGCAGTAAAATAACAGGTGGACTGATAGTAAAGGCAATGTTATTGCATTTTAAAGCTGGCAGTAAAAAAAATTCTTTTACTTCACACAGAATTTGTGTGACAAATTCTGTTAGTTAATGACACTAACTTTGTTAGTGGCATTATATTCTGTGTGAAGGCTGCAATACTGTTGAATGACCTTTTTTCATTATTACAGTGTGCAAGTCCATCCTTTTGTTTTTTTTTCTAGTAAAACTATCAGTTTAAAATTTTACTAAGTATGTAAAAACTAAATGCTTGACATTTTTAAATTACTAGTGTTTTGGATAAAGTTTGTAGTATAAAAAACATAATTTATACCTTTATTAGATGTGATTCCATCTATTTAAAATAAATAGATGTTTGACTTTGTACATGGTCACGTTGTCTTGAATGCTTTGAACATAAACAACTGTAGTCTTTACTAGAGAACTTCTGCATTCAATCCTCCGTATTAATATTAATTGTTTATTATTGGATATTATAAATGTCACCAGAAGTGACCATACTGATCCACTGAAGACACTGAGTCCAGCCCTGAGGTTGTTCCAGCACAATGAAATGTTGTTTATTGTGCTGTACACTGTCAGTGTTGAGACTTTAAGGGTCATACAAACAGTAGTCAGCATCGCAGGCAGGTTGCTGCAGTGCTAATGTTTGTCTTGATAACTAAATGATTTCTCTTTAACAATATTCTTGAAAACACAAAGAGAAAATTCAATAATTAACCTATTTACATAACTACCACAATGTAAACTAAAATAAAATGTCAAAACATGAATGAGGAATTATCTGGACATTGGATTGTGATGCTACCTACCTCAGGAAGGAGGAAAATTCCAAAGGGTGTGCCTTGACCTTCAAGCATGAAGCCAAGGATTCATTACCCAGAACCCAAGCACTGACATCCAGATCTTCCCATACTGATAAGACTTCTGTTCCTTTTGCTGCACAAAATAGAATTTCACTCATACCAGCCATGCATACTGCAAAGAAACATGCACACTGAAATACTTCAAGTACCATAGAAGTTCCACTCTATCCACCAGTAAAAGGGGGAAAAAAATCCAACAGAAATTAGTCTTTTTTTTTTTTTCCTTCTTCTGTTCTTTTGTTTAAAATATAACAATGGTTTCTCCATCCCTACTTTGACAAATAAAGCTTACGTGCAATAAAGAACTAGATTGCTAATGCAAACAAATAGTCAGAATATATTTAATACCAGTTTCTAACTTTTAATTTTCTTCAATGTGGTTTAACTACATGTTTTTCCTGATTGTACGACCAGCATTTTTGTTTATTCTATTTCCTGTCTCTAAAATAACTGGGGTGATTTATCCTACAAGTAAACGGGTATTTTTTTATACATTTTTCTCTACAAGGTATTTTAAAATAACACATTTTTGTGGTCTGTAATCCTTTTTGCCCAATTTTGTTATTGATGATGATGTTGTTGTTAATCAGATGCACCTGCCTATTACAACAGTGGAATCTGGCATCCATCCAGTCTATTTTTGCAGTACTCACCACATTGAAATGTTGCTGAAAGCTGAGTTACCACTTGTCTTTTCAGCCTTCCACATGTCTGGTTTCACTCCATCCCAGGTAACTGATGAAATTGTATTGAAATATTATCAACTTTTTTGATTTAAATCCACAAAATGAAGGATGTTCAGGAACTACTGTGGTTTTTCTATGCAGCGCTTACTTGTGTGGTGGTTATGAAACTGAGGGTAGGAGATCGTTTTGTATACATAGTGACTTAGAGCGTCTGAAAATAGAAATCACCTGACTTTGGTAGAGTAATGACAGTGTACTGAAGCTGATGACCATCCATTACATGTTCATGAAGAAAACTTGATAAAAATAAAATATACTAAACCCACAGATTTATCATTAAAAACGAATAGAATATCTTATTCCCTGGAAAAAAATTCTAAATTTTCCATAGGAGGGGAAATGAGTAATTTGGGATAGGTGTATAATAGGAAGCAGTTCAGGTGATATTAGACCAAAATTAATTTTGTATGTGCTATCATAAATATTACAATCAGGTAACACACTATTCTTCTATGATGAATACCAAATATTACTAAAGAAGAATATTTATCCATAATGCCAGCTTTCATTTTACCTACTTACTACAGTTCTTTAGTAAGATGGAATGCTGTGTATGGAGCATTGCTTGTAAAGATTGCAATCATGATGAAGCATAAACAGCTTCATGCAATAATGAGTTGGATTGCCAAAGCAAAGGACCTCTCACTACAGTAAGAAAGCTTATTGCTGTTCCAAGGCAAGAAAAATAGTTTTCATCTTATGTCTTCAAAATTCCTTTTTGCTACAAGATTTGCAGCTTAACGAGACTTCTTAATGGGCGCAGATGCCACTGTGGTGCAGATACTGCTTAAAAGAGTCAGCTTGGGATTTGGTCTTTGACAGAGAAGACTGGCAGATGAGGGACTTTATCTCAGCATAGGAGTGAGGTGCTTATAATAACGTTCCTATTTTGGGGTGGGAAAACACAAGAGGACAGTCACTGCTTCCTCAACTATTCCTGTGTAAGTTATACTGTATGCTTTTTTAATTGTTTGCACTCAATTAATAATAGACTAGTTATTGTTCTAAACTGCTGGCAAGGTTTTTTTGTTTGGGGATTTTTTTTTTTTTCAAATGTTACTGAAATGCCACAGGTGGGTGCCGCTGTATCTTCTGTGTGATTTTGAAGTTCTACTGCAGGATTAAAAACAAACAAGCGCTGAACTGTGAAAACAGCTCTGACATATTTAAGTGCTTGTGTCCATCAATAAATACCTGAAAACAGATTTAATGCCAGAGCACGGCTGCTGTGATCTAATTAGAGTCTTGATACTTCTGCTGCGGCATATTTTAAACACTTTAAGGATTGACTAGCAGAAGATTTGTGGTCTAGAACTAAATGAAATGTGCTGTACACATCTTAATGCATTGCAATTTAGAACTGGAAAAAGGAGTCACTAAGTGTGTTCAACACCGACTTCATAAAATGAAAACATGTCTTAGGGAAGGGCCTAACGTTCATTTATAAGGCAAAGAACTATGTTAATTTAAAGGAAAATCCACATTAAACACACCTTCATCACTGTTATTACCCTCTAGGCCACATTAAAAAAAAAAACTTGAAAAATATCACCCTTGCTTTCATTGGACTTTGAGTTTTATGTTTCAACCTCCAGAGCTGCCAGAATATATTCAGACAAGTGAGGTGCACGGATGCAGGGTGTTATATCTGCAATAACTCACTGGAAGTCTATTCAGAGGCTGTGATTTATAAGATGGTGATTCTTGACATCTTTTGTGCTTTATTCCTTTTATTTTCATAAGTAGGGTGATATAGGTAAAAGGGTCTATAGTATAGAAAAGTTAAGAGATAAACTTACCAATTATGACTGTCTACAGCAATTTAATTATATATACACTTTCATCTCATCTAGATTAGTCTGCAATGGATAACTCAGTGTTTCTGGAATTACCTGGACTGGAGTGAGATCTGTCACTACATCGCTATATGTATTTTCCTGGGTCCTGATTATCAAGTGTATATGTGTATTTCTGTGTTCAGACACCTACAGCAAGACATCCTGAAGCACACTGAAGCTCAAGATCTCCAGGTTTTTCTTAAAGTAAGGGTTTCTTTCAATTTTTCAATTGCTGAAGGGGAAGCAAAGCTCTCAAGACTTAAAATATGTATGTTACTTGATCTGAAGCTCTTAAATGAATTTCACTTACTGATTTTAAGTGGGTGAAATAATACTTTAATTTTATTTACTTCCAGGCAGGAAATTGTGGTATAGTATTTTCCAGAGAATACCTTTCCTGCATTTTGTCCTGCTCAGTTCCCTTTGTAAGCAAAGTAAATAGCCCCATTAAGTCATGAGGTCATTTGATTCATTTTTATCCATGGCCCAAATCTCATTAAACTAGATGTTCTCCAGGAAGGTGGGTTTACACGGTGGTCTCCTACTGAAGCTTGAAGAGATGTGGCACAAAGCTCAGTGAGCTGTTACTATGAACAGATGCCAATTACTGGACAACCAGCCTCACGATTTCGTATTATTTGCCACATTACAAATCGTGTTTGGTTGTTGGATTATTTTTGCAGGGTACTGCTTAGCTATGGATGCGGTCATGAACAGATACAAATATTTGACTTTTCTTCGCAGACATTTTTGCTTTTTTCTCTGGTCTTTTTTTTTTTTTTTCCTCCAGTCAAAATTTTTTTGAGAGCTATATATCTGCATCTTAGTCTGTCCTAACAACAATAGTTTTCTGACTGGTTTGCATCCAATTTATATATTCTTAAATATGAATGTCAGCTCAATAATTTTCCTTGAAAATGTTTGGTACGTATTTTAATGAGTGAATTGTTTTATTTGACCTGGTTTTGGTCAACGTGGCTTAAAAACTACTTCCTCTGGATGACATTATTGGGATAGTTTATGTAAATTACAAAAGAGAGAATCTATATGTTGTCATCTACAATATAAACAGGCCAAAGATTTGACATGGTACTGTTAAATTAGTGATAAATACTGTATATAAATGCACTACTGGAGCATTTACAATTCATTGAGTGACTACTGCAGAAAAAGAGTTAATAGCATACTTAAATTGTACTCTTGCTTTTGATAGCTCTTAACTGATCTAAAGGAAAAAAAATTATTCTGTCATTGTATTAATTCAATTTCAGCTATGTTATGGGCTTCATCTGAGTTTACTTGGGTTTAATACTAGCAAAGTCATTAGGTCAGATGCCCTTTTATTGAAATAACCAAATTCAGTTTCAAGTTTTAGCCTATTTCTCAGCACAACATTCCCAAATTCGGATTACTCTAGTGGAGCAATTCTCTTAAAAGTGGAAGTATAAAATATTCTGAGGATATAATCCAAGTTAAGAAAAAAAAAAACCAACACACCTACAACCTTTGAATATTCATTTTATATTTTTTTAATATAAAAAATGTCACATCTTGAACTTCATACTAGCAATGGCCGTTTGCAATGTGAACAAGTCCTGCTGCCTATTTTCCTTCCAAGAACTGGTAGTATTTTCTGTGTTTAAGCTTATAACATGCTTTATATCTGTAATGAAAACATGATGATTTGACAGCAATACACCTTTGTTGGTAATATCTAGGAAGTAGTTACAGCTAGCTATTAAAATTAAAAACAAATATTTCTTCTTAAAATGTAAATATACTTTCATTTGCACGTGAAAAAAAGACGTTAGAGACGACTTTGCTGTCAATTCAGATGACATTAATGCCTAGCACTTAAAAAAAGTAAAACTCCCTTTCAGTCTATCCTTCTAGTGATAAAAACCAGATGACCACCTGTGAAGGAGGTCATCTTCTATTACTCTATAATTTGCTTTTCCTATGTGCCAAGAGGAAGGTAGAAGTAACGAATTGTCCATGAACACCTTTTTCCGGTTCTTTCTGTTGGATGAGATGGGTTACTAACCGTTATGATCCCTTTGAGATATATTGAAGTTTCAGCATTAGCTGAATTTTAAATTTATTGCCTGGTCTTTTATTAATCCTATCATGGAAGAATGAAGGTGCATAGCTTTGTAATTTCCACATGTAAACCAAGAGTACTGTAAACTGCCACCTCAGTAAACCTATCTTGACTGTCTTGGTTTCATTGATTTCATTTGGACAAAATCGAGAAACTGGGGCTACAGGGTTTGTGACTTGTTGTAATAGCTCATGTAGGCCAGTATGTCAGTCTCTTCTAGGAGTAATTTAGCTACTCTTCACTTCATTTTCTGTGAGTATGGGCCACATTACTGACAACTAAGTTGCTGGCTTTAATACATGCACACATTTAAACCCTATATTGATTAACTGCTTAAAAAAAGGAAAAAGAGTTAAATACCTACTACAGACCTCTATTCAAGTCCATTTTCTTTTCCACTGTAGTCAGCCTTCTCACAGTGCATGAAGAGCAACTTGGAAGGTAAAATCATGCCTTTGCTTTCCCTTGTGAGTAGGTGAGGAGAAACATAAAGACCATCTTGAATTTCTGTTCAGATGCCAAAGTGCAGCCTTCCAAGCCTGAGTAGATGTTCTCAGGAGAATTAGCAGAGATGCACAGTCAATATACCAGCAGATACAACGTGTATTCACGAGGACCGTCTGGCTCCTGAGAGTTTTTTGCAGCGCATGCTGCCAACAGTGGTAATACTGCATAGTAGATAGATAGAGGGGCACACAAGTTATGCCACTTCAAAGCAGCAACAAATTCACCCGTTTTTCCTAGACTGTTCTTCAGGATCCTGCTTTCTGCAATGCATCCTCCCTCTCCCACTAATACAGTAGCCATGAGAAGGAACATAGCCTGTTTGTTTCTTTTTCCTGAGGGCACCTTCTTCTACTCCATGTTCTGGGATTAGTAAGAATTAATCATTTGTGGCGATGAAGTGTTTATTCTGTTTTTATTTAAGCACTCCATAAAGATCTATCTTTATCACTGATTTTAAAAATAAGTATCTACTGTTACTTTCCTGGTTTTATTGAGAATCTAGTTGGATATAAAAGGCACATTTAGCAAACTTTTAGCATGCCATGTTCTGGTATAGAAATCTTTCAAAAGAATATTTTAGTACCTGGGTTTGCCTTCTTAAAACTTACTCTGTTTTCCTTACAAATTTCTAAATGGCATGGTCTCCAAAAATGAGATGAACAACATCCACCTGAAAAAACTATTTGGTACCAAGACTGTAATTAGAAAGAACTATCTGGATGCAGAAATTACCAATTATTTTTTTCTAAATGAAAGGTAATAAAATGTGTGTATTTTGAACACCCAGGCTGTTCTGCTTGTTACAAAGTGAGCTATCTTTAGAAGCTTGGAATTCATTAAATTGGAGTGTGCATCTCTTTTTTTAATAAATGTTTTCTGTGTGTATTTGTGCAGGAAGAAGCACTGCATGGATTTCGAGTGAGTGATTATTTAGAATACATGGAAAGCTTGGAGGCGATCTACAGACCTATGCTGCTGAAAGACATGAGGAACATAAAAGTACAGAATACATAGATGAAGGAAACAAGCACTTTATTTTCCAGTTTTGGTTACATCCTTTAAAAGGATGCCAATTGATTGATATATCAGTCTTGCCTAAAGTCAGTCAGGCTGTGTAAATGTACATACTATTAAATAAATAAGGAGGGTTTTCAGAATACAGTTTTTGCAGAGGACTTCATCTAAGTTTGTTGACTTAAAATACCACATTTTCCCAGACAGGCTATATGTACAGCTTCATTTTCAGTTAGCAGAAGACAGCTTCAGAATCCACGTGTAGGATGCTGAAGTGTCTTCCTTAGAACATAAGTCTTCCTTATAAAGCCTTGAACCTGTTCCCAGATCACTCCATTGTTGTCATCTCCTTGTTGCACAGTCCTAAAATCTTCATATTTTGCTAGGGTCTGACAAAATTATTTTTCTTGGAAACAAATGTTGGTGGGGCATGAAATGTCAACAAATTAAAAACAAATTCCTTGTACATAGCTGTTCTGACTTCATGGATAAGGTTGGGAAAATGGGGTATTCAAAATACATGCAAGGAAAAAAGACTGATATTCCTCTTTTTTTAATAAAATAAATCATTTTATGTCCTAAAACATCTATTTGTAACATACACTCTCTGTTTGCGTAAGTGAATGAGAAGTCCTCGAGTGGCCTGCTTTTCATATCTCTGTAAAATTATAATTTTTAAAGATTATTAGTTTTCCTGCCTGAATAAAACCATAAGAAGCTTCATCTGTGCTTGCCTTGCATCATCAGTGAAAAGCAGGAAGTAAAACTGCTAGGTATTTTCTAACACCAGTGCAGTGTAGGTAAAATTTCAACATTGTTGAAGTTGACTGAAATTCCCCTTTCCTGTAAGGATAGATTTTAGGTAACGGTCAGTGGGCAGCTGAGGAAACATTTTAGTGGCTTTCTTTTCCATACTAGATTATATCATTGTTAAATATTATTTAAGAAATCACTATATATTTATGCACCAATTAATAGTTGTTTTTTTAACCCAGATTTCAAAGCACTGGAGATGATGTTGAGTCAATAAATAATACTCACTAAGATGACAACATATTCCTAAAATGAATACTACTGTTGACTTGTCAAGAGTGAATAAATGCCTTTGTATTTGATTGAAATCATGGCCAATAAAATAATAGTTATTGGCAAGCAGGAGGGCTTCCTTCAGTATTTGCAAGTAATCAAAGGATGTAGATGGCAAATGACAAGGTATTATCCTATGGCCATTTAATATTTTTCATACGGTCAATCAAATCTGCATCCAAATTTCAAAAAAATAAAGTATCAAGTAGAAATGTAACATTTACAATGCCCATACAGTGTTAGATGAAAAGTAAGCATTTAAGATGATAGCTTACTAACTGCAGAAATCCATAGTCTCATGGAAAGAAAATATAAAATTAGTTATTGAAACTTATTCTCAAATTTGTTATATTAATGTCTTGAAATAGAAAAGGAGAAAAAGTGGTGTCTCTTTGGTACATCCTACCCATCACCAGCTAAGCTTCCCCTCCTGTCTCTCTCACCCTGCCCCCACGGTATTTGTAGATTGCTTTGATCTTTTGCAAGATTTTTTTTCTCCCCCCTTACTTCTGTATTTTGTTGTCCTCTTCTGTTCAGGGCTATTTGTCTGTGCTTCCAGGTACTCTCTCTGTAAATAAAGCACCAATTCCCATTTCTCACAACCTGTATTCTAGCCTTTTTTTTTTTTTTTCGTTCTCCACTACAAGAGGCATTACAGTGATGTGGACTCTCATCTGTTTCTTATATACGACATCACCAGTAGAACTCTGTCTTGTGAGTTGCCCAAGTTCACGGTCTTCAGTATTGGGAAGGTTGAAAGAAGTCAGACAGTGGGATTAGTTTAGCCCAGAAGGCTGGGTTTTGGAGCAAAACTTTTTGGAGCATTTCAGAGAAGTAGTATCATCCATGAAGTAAGACACCCTTGCCTGCTTTTTCCCCTGTGCTACACTGGGTGCAAAACTGGCATTTGTTGCATGCTGGCCCTCAGACTAACAGCACTGATGTTTTATAATATTTATTCATCCATTCAGGTAGTTTTGACTAACTTTGATTTCTGAGTTTTGTCTGAAGGCCGGGTTTGTCTTTTTGTAATTATTTCACAAATGTTGCCTTCTGACAATTCCCTCCACTTTAGGCATTATGGTCTATAAATACCAGCATTATGTCATACCAGTCTACATCAATTCTCTGAGTCTTTCATGTAGTGCCACTTCATACATAGCATTTTCTTCTTTCTGGGACTGTTGAAGGGTAACATCTGATACAGAGCAACTTCACGTAGATGGGCAGATGGGAAGAAGCAGGTAAGGATGGGTTTTTCTGTTAAGGAAATTCCTAGTATAATGGCTTCCAGAGTATCCAAATCTGATATCTGGCATATGGATGGCAACAAAAGGAAGAAGGAGGTGAAAATTATCATAATAAAGCTAGCTGTCATTAAACCAAGTGTTCAAGACTCATGCTGTGTTTCAGAGTATGCTGTAGTAGCCGTAGAACTGGTTTTAAATGCTATGTTCAGAACATTTAGAAGTCCTTTTGCACGCTTTTAGAAAAATGTCCTGGAGTACAACTGGATGACCTTTTCTACATTAAGAATTTTATGTTGCATGATTAAGCATTACATAAAAAGGCCCAAGGGACCTCTGGATAGGTTCTAAAACTGATGTGTAGCTCCTTGTGGGTGCTATGAAGAAAATCAGCGAGGAATCCTACTCTAGCATTGTGAGTTGGTTCACTAGAAGTTGCTTAGGCAGTGGCTGTCATTTTCATTTCCTGTCTTAGAGGTGGGAAACAGTCTGTTTTCAGAAGTATTGCAGTCAGTAGGCAAATCTTAGTTGAAAGTTTACTTAATGGAAGAAAGAAAGTAATGGCTTTAGTGGAGGTTTTACTTAGAAGACTTCATCTCTAGACACCCTCCTCTCTTCTCCCCCCTACACATTCCCTTGTACATTCCATGTATTTCTTCAAAGCATGTTCCGTTTTCAAAAACTCAGACTTAACACAACCACCCTATCATCTAGCTCAGCCTTGATGAAGACTCATCCAGCACCTGGATTTACAAAGTCTTTCCATGAAACTACCTTAACTTTCACTTAAGGTCTTAAGATCCTGTGTTGGAAACTAGTGTCGCTCATTAATGGCATGTTCAGTGATGGCATGTAAATAGGCTTTGCAACTGGATGAAGTTAAAGTCCTACTCCACAAAAAACCAGAAAATACTAGGTTATTACTTACTTTGAGAGTGTAAGAGATTCTCTAGTGACATGAGTATCAAGTTCCTAAACAGCTTTTTGAAAACACAAGATTATTTTTGGCTTAGTCTTGGACAATAAACCTGTTATCACCCTGAGATACTAATTTTCCCTGAGTAAGTTTGCATCAATGATTCTGAAGTTTATTGAAATATGTGTTTCCCTCTTCAACCACCCAGAGTTTCTGAAAGACAAATACTGAATGTATCTTTTTATTAGGAGATTTATCCTTTCTTAGGATTTCAGTTTCATTTCAGCCAAAGTAATAGTTGCACTACTTCAATTTAAAGTTAAACGCTCTGTTCCTGTAGTTACATTTAAAGAGATTTTTGGTCTTGCTAATTACTTTGCTTAGAAAGTTGGTAAATTGCCCTATACCTTGCAGTATCAGACCCTTAGTACCTTGACATTTCCAATAACATTTCTTCTTTAGCAAATGAAACAAGATTTGGCTTCTCAGACAAAAAGTTACTTATCTGTATTCTTATAGGAAGAAGTCTTTATGCTGTGAAATGTAAGCAGCCAGCATAATTGGTCAAGTCCTTGCTGTAGCTAGTTTAATAACTAAGTATAAATTCCCCAAATGCATTCTAGTTATGTAGGCAGCAACTACCAGATAATGTTACATAGTGAAAGTTAAGCATTAAATAGTTCTTTGGTTAGAGAAGCAGGGAAAATACTATGTTTTATCAATACCTGCAATAATATTTTCTTTACAGAATGTCTGGAGTCTCAAAATATTTTGATTAGAATTTGTAATATAATAAATTTTTAGAAGTCCAACAGAAACTACAAACATTGAATTTAGACTTACCCAATATCATTGCCACATTCCTGTGAGACAAACTAAACATTACTGTAAAGGTCTTGAAAAACAACTTCACTAGATAAAATGTATGTGTGACCACATACAAAAATTCAAATTATAAAATACTTTAGAATGTGCAGTGAAATTTCTGTAATTATATACAACCTAAGAGTGAGCACAACTGACAAAGGTTTTGCCACTAATTTCTATTTTCCTGACTCTGCATTTCATAAGTTCATGGGTTTAGCTTTTTGTCCTGTCTAGAAAAAAAAATATGTTTTAAATATTTTTGGACTTCTGTGAACTGTGTTGGCTTAGCTACATTAATAAAAGAGGCAGGCAAGTATAAGGAAAGAATTATGACAACTGATAGAACCAAGTATTTCCTGACACCAGGGTCAAAGAATGCTAGGACTCCCGTAAAATCTGTTTTTTTAACCTTAATAGCAGTCTCTTTTTTTAAAATAACCTTTTTGGCATATATCTCAAAATAACCAAATGACAAATCCAGATAGTAAATAACACTAGAACACTAATATAGATGTGTTTCTAGAAATACATTTTTAAAGACACCATGGTTGATTAAGCTACCAGTTATGCAATGTCATTAGTTCCTTTATCAGCAGCAGATAATTTGTCAGGAAAATCAGCTCTTGTGCCAGGCATTTGAGTAACCCAGGGACTCTTGCCATCTTAAATAGCTATCACTTTGTATTCCTTATCCCCCAACAGAGAGAGGCACTGCAGAGCTGACCCTTAATATCAACAGCTTTCATCAATATTGCATCAAACCGATACAAAGAGGTTCAATACACAATAATCAGGAAGATGAGTCAAATACAAATATAAACCAAACAGCCTGAGTACCAAGTGCTGCTACTGACAAAAGCACTTTCTGC